GAAATAGCAATGCTGTGATATTTAATAGCAAAGCAATAAAAGGAAACAAGTTGCTCTATTAACCTCTGTTTATGCCATAAATACATTTTCAATGTAATGGATTGTAATAGTTGTAAGCTGTAATGGAGAATTGTGATATTAGTACCATATCGGTGGTAGATGAAGTCCAAGTACTTCATCTACCACTGCGTGATAATTTACCTCAACACTTGTTTTTATGGGAAAGTCTGAGGCTGCTTCCCTTACATGAACAGGCTGTAAAACGTCTAATAAAGTTCAACAGCTACATGTTAAAGACCTAAAAATAAAAGAGCCTTGATGTCTTTGATGTGTACATGCAAATCTGCACACTAAAATATCCTATTCATCCTCCTCATATGCTTTACAAAGAACATAGCCTGGAAACAGCCTTCAAATTCTTAAACTGCTAGCACCCCCTGTTGGATCATTCAATGATAACAGCAAATGAGAATATTTTAAAGGCTCCTTAACGCCATTTCATTTTTCATTAGTCTCTTTACACTAATCAGTGCTAAAAATGTTTTAGCTGTGATGTAAAGGAAATCATTTCTCACTGGCTGCCACACTGATCGAACATAACTGTATTAAATAGTAACTTTAATATATGGCAGTACATAACTGTGTACATGCTCTTCTCCATGCTTAGAGAGAAGAGGATTGACGAGGAAGCCAGAACAAAGCCTGGCAGCAGCATGCAGAAGGTTTGGATTGAAATCTTCAACCCAACAGAGAACGATAAAGGAAAATACACATTGGAGATGTTTGATGGCAAAGAGACACACAAACGGTTTCTTGACCTGTCGGGACAAGGTGAGTGCAAATGTCATTTTAGTTTAAAGGTTTTAGATTGTGAGATCGTTTTTTCCCCAGATTTTTTATTGTGATTATTTTTCAAACATCCAACAGCTTTTGATGACGCTCTGTTGGAGCACCAGAGGTTAAAGTAAGTGCTACACCCAATGCACTAGATGAGATATCTAAGCTTTTACTGACACTGACAGAACAGTTTTCCAAAAGACAGAGGTTTTACTCGAAAACAGATTATCGTTGCCTGACACTGTGCAATTCATTTTGATCTAACCCTTTGTTTTCATCCCTCAGGCAGCTGGCCATTGCAGAGAAAAGTGAGTGATAGGTTATGTGTTAATCCCAGGACATTTCTTTCCGTGGCAAAGATTAAAAGACTCTACATCATATGCCAGCAGAGAGTTATTTTTGCCTTTTTGTTTCAGATCGGGCTAAAGTGACAAAAGGCCTTCCTGATGTGGTAGCCATTATGGAGGGCAAGGTACAGTAACTGTTTAAATCTTGCATATGTGCTTCTCTCTGTGACCTGCCATTTCATGTCTTGTTTGCTCCTTCTCTTCAGTCTCTGTGTCTAACGTGCTACATTGATGGCGAACCAGCCCCAGAGATCTTCTGGCTTCGTAACGATAGGGAGATATTCAGCCAGGATCACTTTACAATCACTAAGGCGCCCAAGTGCAGCAGCATCACTATAAACAATGTCAACGTGGAAGATTCTGGAAAGTACAGCATCTTTGTACGCAACAAGTACGGCTCTGAAACGGTTGACGTGACCGTGAGTGTTTACAAGCATGGGGAGAAACCTCCAGCTAATGCAGTGGAGTTGAGTTAGGACTCCAAACTGAGTCAAAAATCGATATTTCTGCAGGGAGTGAGGGTTTACCAAGATCTGCGCACATGTTGCTTTTGAGAATTTCCTGCAAACAAACCACAGTATCCTCTACTCCAGGATTTGCTTCTACTTTATTTGATGTGTCTAGTATTTTGCTTAATGAAACTCTTTTCGGCTGATTATCTTATAAAATACCACTATAGCCAGTGTTCTGCAGTAAATGGTAGCATTTTCTGTAAGCAATTAGATACATATAGATACGATATGTAATTGACATTACGGAGCTAGTTTGCTGGCTTTTACTTGCTCCACTAGCACTGAATTTGCACTGCATTTTATCATTTATCTGCTTTTGGTCATGCTGCCAGTTTCAACAAGTCTCGCTTTAAGTGCTTTTGAAAAACCCTAAACTCTGATCTTAGTTTCCGTTGAAGCAGATTTGTATTTTTTTCTGTGTGTGTGTAGTGAATAAAGGGATTTACAGCAATTTTTCTCTGGTGGATTACTTCTAAAATAGATTTTGCAATGAATGATTTCTTTTCCACTCTGGAAGCAAACAGTCCGCAGTGTCATTAACCTTTCTACATTACCTTAGAGCAGCAGTCTCCAACCTTTTTTGCGCCACGGACCGGTTTATGCCCGACAATATTTTCACGGACCGGCCTTTAAGGTGTCGCGGATAAATACAACAAAATAAAAATAGTACCGGTACAAAAAAAAAGAAGATTTATTCATAACACACGTGAAAAGACCCAGGAAAACAGAGTTAACGATAAAAACGATAAGAAAATAACGCTGAAAACTGATAAAAACCCTGACAACTATACATTTCACACCTGAGCCTCTACTCTCGCGGCCCGGTACCAAACGACTTACGGACCGGTACCGGTCCGAGGCCCGGGGGTTGGGGACCGCTGCCTTAGAGTGGTAGATTTACATTAGTAGGCTGGAGACGTGAATGAGGTTCAGTTAAGGTCTGCATATTAGTCATGTTTATGAAATGCTTTCATTTAGCATTTTCTTCTTTTCATCCTTAAACTCCTCTACGATTTGATATCCTTCTGATAAAAGATTCAATTCTTTGTTCGTGTGCTCTTTTGCTGATTCAGATCCTTTGTCATAAATTGCAAGTGGAGCCTCAAAGAAGAATAGCTGTTCTCTTGTAATACTAATGAGGATCAAAATATTCAAGCTGTGAAATAGGCTGGCATGCATTTTACTGCCAAGTCCATGTGTGATTTACTAAATTTACCAATATGAATTGACCTTTGGTGAACGCTGTGTCGCCACATAGGTATAAATGAACTTCAGGTTATTCAAACATGTGATTACTTCAGAGGACGTTGTTACTCATTAGACATAGCACTGGGAGCCCTATACCATCAAGTATAAGAAGGTGGGGCATACGCTAGCAATCTCCACATTGTGTTGAGCTTCACACAGTTGCCTCAGCCTCCCGCCACCTCAGTGAAGGAGAAGCCAGACCCTCTAAACAACATGGACTTCAGTGGAACGTGGCAGGTCTATGCTCAGGAGAACTACGAGGAGTTCCTCAGGGCTCTGGGTGAGAAAAAAGTTGGGCAGTAAAGAAAAAAGGTATTATTTTCTGTAGCTGAAGTTGTAGGTTATTGTGCATAAATTAACAATATACGTGTGTTCTGCTTAACAGAGCTCCCAGAAGATGTCATCAAAATGGCCAAGGACATCAAGCAAATCACTGAGATCAAGCAGAGTGGCAATGACTTTGTCATCACCTCCAAGACTCCCGGAAAGTCCGTGACCAACTCGTTTACCATCGGCAAGGAGGCTGATATCACCGCCATGGACGGCAAGAAGATCAAGGTTACTCATTTTTATTAGACTTCTTTTTTTTTTATAAGAAATATTATCTTGAATACTAATTTACTTCAGGATGATGCAATCTTTGAGAGACTAAAAAAATACTGTATTCTCATTATTCATGAATCATACTCATATTTAGTAAACTGCTCCATTGTGTGCTATGGCAACAGTACCACTGTTAAATTGGTCACTGATTGCTGCATCTGCTGCTTCTGTTTGACTAAAGTTCAGTCATCTGTGTCTAAGAATACTCCTCTTCCTACTGGAAAAGTAAAAGAAAATTACATGTTAATGGGCCTGAAGATCTGAAGGGTTTAAATTCATTTTCTTGTCTGTTTTGAGGGATACATTATGTATAATGCCTCTTCCATTGATCTGCAGTGCACTGTCAATATTGAGGGCGGCAAACTGGTCGGCAAAACTGACAAGCTCCGCCACGTCCAAGAGCTCAAAGGAGGAGAGATGGTTGAGGTAAAGTCCACCTTACCAGAATTCAAACAAGCAGCAGTATGAAAAACCAAACAAACTATTTGCTGGATTATAATCTTAATATTGTCTGTAATTTTAAAGTGTTTCCTTTTCTTTATCCCATTTCAGACTTTGACCACTGGGTCGACAACTCTCGTCAGAAAGAGCAAACGCATATAAACTTGGCAGCGAAGAAACCAGTGTCTATTTAAATAAAAGTGTTGATTAAAAAGAGCAGCGTGTGTCATATTTCTGTCCCCTTATATTTGCAGTGAGGTCATTGCTTAATGAGGCCTTTTTGATGTGTCTAAAATGTTTTGTAAAATATTAACTAGGTAAACAAAAGATATCCATGCAAAGAAGCATTTGATAAAAGTTGTGTTTGCCATGTCGGCTATATTGAGAAATCTGCTTGTGGCTTGACGTCCACACCATCCTCTAGTGGACTAGCGGGTCTATTGCACGCTATGCCGTGATACTGGTTTGGATAGTTCTGGGGGCTTGAGCAGGCATAAATCAGTTTCTATGGTCAGTGTGGGGACTTGGCTTCTGTTTGATGAAAGAAAAAAAGTAATTATAAATCAGGAAAGGTTAAGGTGAAAACTTAAGGAAGCTTTAAGCTTATAAGGTTATTTTAGGGAAATTTTGGCAAATATTTTAAAACATTAACTGTTAGGGAATTACATTTAATTTCAGGACTCTGTGATTTCCATATGTTTCTCTTATAATCACAGACAGTATGAAACAGATTTGTCACACATAAGGTCAGATTTTAGACTTTTAACTGTATTACGACATTTCCTGCTGATGAGGACGCTCCCTTTGGCCATTCATAATATTAACGTAATGAAATAATAGATCAACAATTAAATGGCAGTTATATACCATAGAAATTTCTGTGGATTCAAAAGACATTGAATTAACAAAAACTTTATAACTACATGACAGTCTCAGTAATTAATTGAATATTTTTCTTTAATTTTGCACATTTAGGTCTTCCAGTCGTGCTGACAAACTTATTTCGTTTGCTACTTAATTGTAATGCAATTAATCCTCTTTACATTCACAGGAAGAGGGAGTTTCACTGATCCAATTATGCTCAAAGTAGCCTATATGTGGTCCACAATGTAAACTGTCAGTTTGACATCCCTGTCTGAGAGAGAGAGAGGAGAGAGACCGTCGTGCTTTACTTCTAGGCATGCGCAGTGCCGAGAGAGCGCTCTGACTGACCACGTAGCCTGTCTCAGCTGCGGTACAGATAGCTGCAATACACAAATTCACGGCCTCTCTACAGTAGCAACGGGCCGCTGAAAAAAATGGCGAGATACCTGAGGCCTCCGAATACATCTCTTTTTGTCAGAAATATCGCCGACGAGTCCAGGTACGTTGTTACTTTCAACCCCGCCGGCGTGCAAGCAGGCATGGCCAGGCTAAATGTGACGCTAGTTAGTTAGCAAACATGTCAACGTGATGTCATCATCAAAATTAGGAAACTGACGTTAACTGTCAGAGAGCGACTCCGAACAGAGAAGCTGGCTACGGACAACACAACCGTGTAATATTTGGTAATATTTAGAAATAAGAAGCTGAAACATTCGTGTTGTAACTGAAGTTAACGCTACACCCTGACCTGTCTGGGGGGACAAAAAAATAAACGACTGAAATACGTCTTTGAAACTGAACTAAAGGCTGGACAGCAGCAGTTCCTGCAAGTAAACTACAGTATCTGTAGTTTACGCACTTTTGCACTATGCACTTTTTAATTATAGAATTTAATTTTATGTCCTTCCTATCATTAAAAAATAATTACAAATATTAAGGCAACACTTGAACATTACAGCCAATTAAAACTTCGGGCATATAAATAGTGAATTCATTTTATCTGCTTTGGTGCACGTGAAAGTGATAACAGGTGGACTGGAGAGGCAACAATACGACAGAATGGTTTTGAAGGTGGTGGCCACAGACCGTTGCTCTCTCTATATCCCCTCTCACTTATTTTCTTGTTTTACTTTTTGCTGGTGCCTATGTCATTGCTGGCATCATAAGACTGTGGTCCATTCGAGTTACAGAGATAGTCCACCTCTTACAGGATTGCACATCTTTAAGCCCTGTCACGAGGTTTGATTTGTCTCCCAGCACAGGCTTAAGACGGTGGAAGGGATCTCGATGCACTTCAAGGTGCTCTGTTTTTAAATTAAGTTCAAAATGCCTTTATCCTCAGGGCATGGCTGTTTAAGCTTAAACAAAAAGTTCAGGCACTTGCTTGACTGTGCTATGAGAGTTAAGGCATTTTAAATTTTATTTTAAACAGAATGTCTTTTGAATGTGTATCCTTTCCAAAGAGTCCCTCAAATAGAATTGGTATTATTCTGACTGAATAACAGTCAGGAGTGCTGACTGACTCCACAAGACTGTTGAGGCGATCCCTTGAGGGGAGTTTCACGGGGCCATAGAAGGGAATTGACCCAGCAAAAGGACCAGTATCTGCTCCTTTGTGTGAAGATGAACAGGAGGACCACTGCCAGAGCCTTGCTCATGTGTGTGTTTCTGACCAAAGACTATGTAGGTGACATGAAGTCCAGGCATCCTTTAGTAGGACATGTGCTCACATGCCATACACTGTGTTTGGCATTACCAGACAACACTTAGAACTAGCCCGATGTCTTCACGGATGCAAGTCCACAGTGAGTACATGTGCCAGGTGTGAGCAAGCCTGGAGATGCCATGACGAATGTCATGATGCCAGCTACAACATTGGCACCAAAGCAGGTCAAATGGATTCACAATGGGTTATGCTTCCTAACTGGGGACATTGGTATCCCTAAGGTGTAACTGCCTTTGTGCTACATTGTTTTTGCTGCCAAGATTAAAATAAAAAATGTATTTGGAAATAAGCGTAATGAGTTCTGTTTGATAATCTAGAGGCCTAAATGTGAATAGTATGACTTAAAGTACTTATTATTAAAGATAATAAGTAGATTTTTAAGTGTGGTTGATTTCACAAAATAAAAAAAATCACTTCTGTGAAAAGTGCCATATATGGGTTTTATGGCCGCAATGAATATGTGAAAAAGACAGTTTCTGGTTAAACTGCACAAGTTCACCTTAAATGTCCTGATGAGGAAACTTCCTTATGAGTAAGAAAGTAATTCGGTTTATTTGCTGTTAAGCAATGTCCGATGCTTTGCTGGCGCCAACTCTTGTGTATGTGCTGCACACTGGACTCGAGCCAAATTCATATGGTAGCCAGCAGAATAAATGTGCTTATTTCATGACACTTTAGGCCAGAGGATTTACGGCGTGAGTTTGGTCGTTATGGGCCTATTGTAGATGTCTACATTCCACTTGACTTCTATACACGACGACCAAGAGGATTTGCTTACATTCAATATCCTTTATTCTTTCAGTTTATGTTCGTACTTTTTCACTAATGGATTGTAAAGCATCAACTCTGATCTGTTGGGTGCAGTGAATTGAGTAACACCTGATTTAATATTTCCCTTTTAAGAGGAGTTTATGTAATGTAATTGTTTTTTTTGTTTGTTTTTTAATGCTTCTAGCATTAAATATACTCCTAACCAATATTTCTTCTGTTGTTGCCTCAGAATGGTAAAGATACAGGTATGGAGACCCCACACCAAAGAAAGTTGAAAGGCGGTTGTAGAGTAGATTCAAGCCAAAGACATCCAGGCGACAAGCAGTAGTGGAATTTGGAAAATAAAGACAGAGCAAAAGCATGAAGATACAAAGAGGACAAAAAAGAGAGATTCCAGGCTTCCATTTGTCTACCAAAGGGAGGAAAAGAAAAGTGTTTATTGGGCAAAGACAAGCAGGAAACCTCAAGTTCTTCTGCCAAGGCTATAAAGATCAAGCTGAAGGTCAAGCATGTTAAAGGTAACAAGCCAGACTTTTTGTATCCTACCCAATCTGATCACCATTAGTATTTGTCTTGTCTTCACAATTTGAAGTCACAAATGGGCCTATTTTTAATGTTACATAATTTGAGTTGGTATTACTGAAGACGGTCAATTATAAATGAAAGAAATATGCTGAGATGATGAATTACTCTTATACATTTTTGGCCTCACTGATCCAGTAGCTGTGTGGTGTTTTTTTTTTTTTTTTTGTTTGTTTGTTTGCTTTTTATTTTACTTGTGTTGCAGCTGCTTGCTGTGTTTTTTGTATTGCATGCGTGCAGCTTTCAGTTCCACCTTTCCAAATTAAAAGTCCTTAACAATCCAGCATGTTTGAAGATGTCCGGGATGCAGAGGATGCTCTTCACAACCTGGATCGTAAATGGGTTTGCGGGCGCCAGATTGAGATCCAGTTTGCACAGGGAGACCGCAAGAGTATGACCAATTGGCATTCCTACTTGAGCTTAACTGCACCATCTCCTTTTGGGAAATGTGTTGTATTGTTACATAACCTTTTGATGTGGATTTGTCATTAAAGCCCCTAATCAGATGAAGGCCAAGGAGCGCCACTCCCCTCGCAGTTTCTCTCGCTATGAGGATGATCGGGATACCCGCAGAAGACGATCACGGAGTCGCAGCTATGATCGCCGCAGGTCCCGGAGCCCTTCTTTTGACCGTCGCCCTCGGAGGTCTGAGAGCCCTAGAGAGTGAGTTCTTGGCAAATTTTACACCTTTTAAAGAATATAAGACATTAAAGTTCACCAAAAACATAATGATATAAATGTAGTGAGTGTGAAGGAGTGCTCTATGGATGTCTGCAGCTCTGAAAGCTGGCACTTGCAAAGGAGGAGGAAAAAAGAAAGGGGAAAGGGAAGATGGAGGGACAACTTATGACTCAATAGAGTGGGAGGGGGAAAAAATGTGTGTGTACATACTGGGGCTGCAACAATTCGAGTAACATGAATATAAATAAAATTCTCAATGCAAATTTTTTGCTTCAGTGCTTTGTTTAAACTCTGTAGCACTCAGTTGTCATTATGTAAGTACAAGCGTTTCACCCACATTTTGTATTAAAAATAAATATGCAATAGAAATATATCTGGTGCACATGTGCGAATTAAAAAAATATTACAACATTGAGCCCAAGCAGCCCCCAATTTTTCAACAAAAAAACGGATAAAACAACAGCAGCAGGGAAGATGCTGTCATAGTTTATCAGGGAGATGCCGTGTGGGTAGTTGGCACTCTGCCTCTGCTCTGTGTGGGTAGACAGTGCAGAGGCAGAGCAGTTACTGAGATGTTGAGCTCAGCTGGGGT